GACAACACCTAATTTTGAAAATGTCCTAGAAATGTGGGAACATAGGGTTTAATTTTGAGAAAAATCTTAGAAATGTGGGAACATAGGACTGATCCCGAATTAAAAGTGTGACAATTTGCCAATTTACTAAATAGCCAACTAAGTTGAGGTCTTCATCCTTGTTTGTTTCTCTTTACATCCCTTATCAAAGACAGACACAATGTCTGTTAAGTATCATTAAAGAAAGAAAAAGAAGAAGAGACTCTGCAGTTTAGAAGCTTGAAATGTGAAATTTGTCAAAAAATGTATGCCTAGTTGACCTTATCGTCTGTCAGCAGACTAAATCAACTAATCATTTCAGTTTGAAATCAGTCATTGACAAAAAAAAGAAGGCCTAATCTGCAGAACAGAAAAGGTAATAACAGATGACTTAGAATGATTCATGAATCTAAACTTTGAAGGGACAAAACAAATCCATTTTGTTATTATGCTTTTGTTATTATCCTTCCCTTGGGGCTGAATAGAAGATATGCTTTAAACATTGTGGTCTTTGTGGGCTGTTGGAGCAGTCTTTAAGGAACTTATTTTGCATTCAGTGTTGGTGTTTTCACAGACTTTCTTATGTCAAAGCAGACCACAGCACAGAGGAACCAGAGCCCTCACCTGATTACTCTTTACAGAGACCTGCTTGTGAGCTATTCAGACACATGAAATATTGAAGGCCTGGAGTTTCCGTTTCACACACAGAGAGGGAGGGAAGGGAGACAGCGGAGCGACAAGCAGAGAGGAGAACATACTGGTGTGCTGCAGAAAAGAAAGAAACTGTAGGAAAAGGAAAGAAACAGCGGGAAAGGGAAAGAAACGGTGGGGTTGAGAGGCAGTAAGACATCAGGCACCCTGGGAGGGAGACACATGAGCAGGGATGGCGGAAGAGAGGGAGGAACAAGGAGAGATCACCCAAAGGTAAGGCAAGGGGAGTGTGAATGTTTGTGACTAATCAGGTGCTCGTTTGTAACAGTAGAGGTTGTGTCTGTGTAATCCCTTGAAGATTGATTGGCTGATAACCTTCTGGTCAGGCGGTTAGGAGGGCATGTTTTTATTTCCCTTTCTCAAACCTCAGTGGGACGACTCCTATCCAGGCTGAAACAACAACTCTGATCTGCAGAGAAGAGAGCAGTGAGACCCAAACCCTCAAAGCACCAGAGGAAGAAGACATCCTGGCTGACAGTGGAGCCTGTAGCAGAGAGGTAGAGCCCTGTCTGGGTTTCTCACTATTTCTAATCTAAAATGTGGATGTACAGTCATCAGAGTGAAATAAATGAAAAGTAGCATAATAAGTGATGATGAATACGTATTTTGTTCTTTGTATTTTGTTAATGTTAAAGGTCGAAGAGGGTCAATGTAACACAGCCGCAGAGATCTTACCCCAGGAGCCTCAGACAGACACAAACACACAGGATGATAATGACTGCCTCCCATTGTGCCCCCTGCCATCAGAGGACGAGCTGACCCCCACTTCAGTGTCATCCCATACCTCCAACACACAGAGTTAGTGACACACATCCGCATACACACTAGCTTCTAATATATTACCAGAAAATGCTCATATGAAGACTTTAAAAAAAAGTTTTACACCATACACTGTATAAAAAGATGGACAGCATGACATCTACCCAAAAGTGAAACCAAAGACATTTGAAGTTCTCCTGACTGGTTACAAGTCATAAAACACATCTCCCCCATGTTAACAGAAGGGATATAGGTCCAACTAGAAAATGAAACAACAAGTCAAATAAATGTTTCTCAATCATGGTTAATGTCTCTAAAGTTAGCTCTTATGCTAATTTATGTCCAAGTGTTTATTTATAAGTTTAGTTTAAATAAGTCATTTGATGCAATAACATTGGCTAAAGTGCCACGATTGACATCTCTGGTGACAAATGCAGCTCCTGAAGCACTCTGTGCACCTGATTAGCAGAGTAAAGGAGGATCGGAGAGAGGAAGCACAGCAAACAATAACACAAGAGTCATTGAATTTTCCATAACTTCAAGAGTCTAAAGCTGCATAAGGGTGGGAGCTTCTGGCTGCATATAATGTCACTAGCGCAAAATGTCAGCTCCCTTTAGGGGGTTGTTTATGCTTTCTTTTGTACAATAGGAGGTGCAGATGCTCCATCCATCTTTTTATAAAGTCAGTGGTTAACACTCAATACTTTGTTATGCTTAAGTGTTGGTGTCTTCACAGATCGACCGTCTGAGCCTTGCTGGTATTGCCTGAGGTCTCTTGACTCTGAGTATCATCCTGAAACTCCAAAACAGGTTTCAACATTTATGACCAAACATAAATTCACTTGGATTTTGGATTATCTGGATTATTGGATTGGTTTAATTGATTTTATATGTCAGAAAATCTCATTTCTGGCACAAGTTCTGGCTCTTTTTCCCTTGTCGAAGCTTTTTCTTAAAAGAATGATTCTAAATCTTGTCACAATACTACTCTTCTTTTCATATTATCATATCACAGGAAACTTTACAATAAGAAGAGTTTTATTGCTTTTTAATGTCAATTCAAAAGTCAAATAATTTTCCAAACCAATCCTGCTAATCATTAAGATGTTCATTTAAATTAAAAAGCTGAAATGCTGAGTATCAGCATTGTTCATGAAGTTAGTGTCTGAGGAATGGCTCATGGTTTTAATTATCACTAATAGATAAGGGATTATGGGCTCTTTGTTGACGAAGAATCACATTTTAAAGTTGCTGTTCACTTTTATTATAGGGCGGATCATAATTCGAGGTAATGCCACGATCCCCTGTTTCTGTGTTGCAGGAAGACACAGATCCTTTGTCAACACTGCCCTCTAGTGGCCAGAAAGTAAACTACCAAACAGATCCTAGACCTCACTTTGGTGTAGCTTGGTCCTCCCACTCCACGTGTCGCCCCCTGTGGGGCAGCGAGGGGCCGTGCTGGGGGCAGAGAAACCAGGAGATGCCTGATCAGACACACACCTGCCCACACTGTCATCTGGGGTTGCCTGCTGACACACTGCGCTGGCATGAGGTTGGCACAGACGCTTATAAACACCCACAGACATTAATAGACCCATAAGCCCACAGTTTCCAATAAACATGCCACAGCACACATGTTTACTGAAGAGCCTCTTACTGTTGTTTTCTGTCTTTGTGTTTAGGCAAAGTGTCTGCTGTTTGAGGGACTGAGGAACACAAAGAAATAACGAGCGGAGAAAAATGTCTATTTTAAAGAATAATGGTGCAATATCTATTACTGCTAGATATCTGTCTGTTTACACAAGCCATGTTTAATCTCTATTGAGTTAATGTGATGATTCTGGTACAATCGGATATTTTTAATGATGTGTTCATTCAAATAAACTGCATGTCTACAAAACAGTCTGCCTTTTTATTTTGCTTAACATCCTCTGAATATTAAGACTGCAGGTGTCTCTTGGCACTAAAAATAAGTATAGAAAGGAATACATGAACACATATTTTTCAAGCTTTGTTTCCCCATAAATGAGATTCAGAAAGGCTGTTTTTTTTTATCCAGCATTTGGCATTTTTCTTTGTTTTTCCTTTGTCTTTAAAGTTTGTGTTTTGTCCACAAAAAGAGGATGTTGTCTCAGTGATGTACTTATTGAAGAGGCGTTTTGAAGCACAACGATGGTAGCCCCCAAATTGTAAATGCTATCTCTTCTTCTCTTTTTGGTCAATCTATCCACAAGCAAAGAGGTGGAGCTGAGGCGGGTAAATGGCTACACTGCGGGCACCTGTCAGTCAACTCAGCCACGGCTCTAATTTAGTATAGGCTACTCTTTATGGGGTGTTGATTGTAAAAACGTTGTTATATAGGCAATATAGTTTAGATATATTTCAATATTTAGTTAATATCCTTCACATTTAGCTCGTTTTACACATAAATAATTGAAGAAATAAAAGTGTTGAAGAAATATTTAATAATACATCATGTAAAATCTAAATGTTATATCTATATCTAAATGTTAACGCTAAATCTAAATGTTAACTCTAAATCTAAATGTTATATCTATATCTAAATGTTAACTCTAAATCTAAATGTTATATCTATATCTAAATGTTAACTCTAAATCTAAATGTTAAATCTAAATCTATATCTAAATGTGACGCCAAGTGTAAAGCTAAATTTTTTTTAAATATGCAAATCATGTAATTCCACGCCCCTTGAATTAGCGAGCTAAATGTGAAGGATATTAACTAAATATTGAAAATATATCTTAAAAATATATATAACAACGTTTTTACAATCGGCACCCCATAACTCTTAGCTTTAATATGATCACAATGGATGCGTTATGGAAATAATTCAACCCCTGTACAGTTTTCACTAATAAAGAAATGACTATAGACCAAAACTGTTTTTGTTCCATGCTGTAAACATGTTTATTCCTGCTGTTGAAATAAGCATTTTAGAATGGGCTCTAAAGGGGGATTTCTGCATTGGTTATATTTTTTAACACTGGAGGTTGCCTCTTGGTTTTGGCCTGAGATGGGGCTCCACCAGTCTATACAGCATGACCTGTGTTGATGGGGAGGGAAGAGGAACATTTCGACATAAAAAATGATCAGGCCTCTTAAACTCATTATAAAGGGTGTTTGATAAGAAATGGTTACCACTTGTTTATATGTGTCAGTGAATGTTTGTGTTTGAATGTCTGGTAACAGTTTGCATTGGATTTGATTGGATGGAGTATTTTGTTTGGAATAGAACAGAACTGGGTGCTTGTGATGTCACAATAGGGTCCAATAGAACATACTGAGGAAGGATCCTTCTCTGTAATCATTTACTTTTCTACTGCTGGACTGCATGCAGCTTCAGGTAATCACTCGGTCTCTTTCTGAGGCATATTTCTTCCTCAACCTTTCATGAAAAATGTAATTGAATTATATAAAACCCTCTTAATAACAAACTCCTAACCATCCTCTCCTCAGATTAAGCCAGAGATACTTGGATTAAACAAGCCAGTATGGATGAGAGCTTTGAACCAATGCAAACTACCAGTGAAGAGAAGCCAGGAGGAGACATCTACAACCTGATAGATAAAGGTCAAAGCGATAGCTCAGAGAGGGCAGGTGGTTGGGGGTCACTTCCTGATGTGTGCCTCCGCCATGTCTTCAGGTGTCTTTCCGATGAAGATCGTGTGAGTGCAGATCTGGTTAGTTGTCACTGGCACCAAGTCATGCACTCTCCATCTCTCTGGCGCTTCCGCTTCTTCCACTTCAACGGCCGTCTATCCAAATACACCCAGTCTGAGTACTGCTCTGCTGTTGCCTACGCCCGCAGTCTAGGAGTCTATCTGGAGTCACTTGAGGTGTGTCTGTGTCCCCCACGCAAGTCCTCGATAGCCCGGCGGTTGGAGCAGACTCTCACCGGGCTGTTGTCCGAGCTTACAAGGTAAAGGAGTGTGTCTGGCCCACCCAATCATAATCTACATTTTAAACAATTCAGCCCTGCCTTAGACTTTAACTGACATGCCAACAAACTGAACTCTCCTTGGCTTCCACAGTGTAAAGGCCCCGCTCCGGTCACTTTCCATTGTAAAGATGGAGTTGGAACGGACCCCCTGGACAACAAGCCTCAGGAGCTCCATAGTGCACAGTCTGATTGAGTTCCTCCAAACAGGAGGCTCAAAGCTCACCTCTGTTTGTCTGAATGGGATGCGAAACTCCCTTCCCCATGTGAGGTTAACACCATTAGTAAAATAATGTGTAAGCAGATATGTCAAAGGGGCTTCACAACAGGGTCACGTATAATGTCACTGATAAATCAAACCTCCCTCAGGGGAGGGCTAGGACTAGAGGTGTTTCTATGTGTGAATAAATAAATCTTTAACACTGAATTCTCAAGTGTGCAGAATCATCAGTGTCACTGAGCAGTTTTCTGCAGTCTCCCTGTTGGTGACTGTTAGTACGTATTTTCATGGATTCATTCATCTTGATAATTTTGTGGACATATCTTTAAATTGTGTCAACCATCTTAGGGTAATTCTACTTTTGGGTCTGTGAAGCTGTAACCTTATATGGTGAAACATGTAAATTGTAGCAGATCTATGTTTAGATAGGAGCCAACCATATGTTGTCAACAACTGTTTGCTAGACAGAGAGTCTACATCTGTTACGTATACAAATCAGTGTCATGTCATCTTTATTGTTTTATAGTGATGTACCCAAATGGAAAGGAATTTGTGGGCTGTACCTTCTAGCAGAATATAAGCCACACTGTGTGATGAAGACTTGGCCATTTTGCCATTTTGCCCATGATGGCCACTTTGCCAATGATTGTCAATGATTGTGAGATCTTGGTCAGCATGGGTCAGCGATGGTCTGCACTTTGTCAGCCATGTGTGTTGTGTTTCTGTGTTGTCTGACCATGGCTGAATAAATCTAAGATGATCCACAGTCTGTTTCACGATTTCACCATTGTTCATCTACTACAGAAATGACCCCAACCTAACAGTGACTGACTATTTCCAGCTCATTCATATAGTATTAGATTATTGAAAGAAACTATCAAGATGCATAACCCCTATGGCGGAAAAATGTATGATGATCACTTAGTGCCTAGATTTGTTGACCCAAAATAAGAGAGTGGGTTATCCACATATTGGAGTTCAGGCTTCTCATTTCCACATTTGAATGTTTCCATGTATTTCAAGCATTTATAGTGTTCAGAAGATTATAAGTGATTTATAAATAAACAGTCCTTTTTCCTCTTAACCTAGGGTCTGGAGGTGTTGTCTGCACTGGCACTTTCTCAGACACGTTTGACCCCCAGGTGCTACATCTCGTCTTTGGACTTGAGGGGATTCTTCTCAGGCTCATTAACCAATGTCCATCTGAACCCCAGTGTTCCCTGCATCCTGTGTCAACTGCCAGGCCTCACTTACCTGACCCTTAGTTACTCCTGGCTGTCAGACGAGCTGCTAACGGCCCTCCAGCACAGAGGACAGCAAGAACAGGGTAGAGATGGGAACCCCTTGCAAAGTCTCTCGCTGCACTGCAGTTTGCATGAGCCCCATCAACAGGTAGGCAAGAAATAAAACAAATAATTTGCCAATTGGGCAGCCTTTGGGCCAGTTGACCATCCCCAATAAATAATGCTTACACTGACAGCAGAAGTGTGATTTCACTGAAGAGTGAAAACCATTGACCATGTTCACAAGGTGGCCATTTTCTGGTCACTGTGGAAAGCTGAACTAATATAATAATGTCATACTGTTGTTTGACAGGTTGCAAGGAAGGAGTCATATTCATGCTTTTATCAACAACTGTTTAGGCAATGATAGTGAATACTGGGCATTGGGCTAAGAGTCCTAACAATCTAAAAAAAGAAAAAGAAAGAAGTGACAGTGATAGAAGTGATAGTAATTTAACAATAAGATTAAAAAAAAAAAAAAACACTAAATGTTTTAGTTATTAGTTATTTTTAACAAAAAAGAAGTCCAATGTCCCTCCAGATGATGGTCAATCTCAAAGCAATGAAATAAGTAGTGAGTATAGTTATAGTTATAGAGTATAGTTACAAAATAAGAAATGTCAGTTAAGAGGATCAAAGTGTAAGGACAAACACCTGCAGAATCTGTCATTCTCCCATAATGTCTAAGTGAACTGTTCCTCTCACTAATAATGCTTTTAGAAGAGTATCCCTTGTGTAAATATACGCTAAAATAGCAAGAAGCATCAAAAAATGAAAAAAGAAATTGAAAATGCCCCCCTACCCGCTCTCTCAGGTTTTCATTGTTCATTTCTGTCTCTGCTTCATTCCCCCTCTAAAGCTGGTGTTTGGCAACTCATGGTCAAATTTGGTCTCAACCTGCCCAGAGCTAAAGGTCAGGATCACAGTGGAGCAAGTCATTGACACTAACAGGCTTGCAAGGATCCTGTTGCCTGAGATTCCCCTGACAGAATTCAACATGACAGGTTCCTACTCCACTGACGAAGACTGGAGCGCCAAGCCTGTCCTCCGTGACCTGCTGCCTCAGTACAGACGCAGTCTGCAGGTCAGGGTGCCAAACAAGCAGCAGGACAACTGGGCAGAAAGTGTGGAGAGATGACGTTGTTAAACTGGATTTTGTGTCACTGGCTGATATTTTGAGCTAAAAGTTGGATTTATTTTGAAGTCCAACCAATCACTACAAAGTGTAAAGAGAAATATTGTTCTTTAAAAAATGTGATATATTATGATTATCACTCACATTTTAATAGACTGATCACAGGCTTGCTTGTGCTGTTGTTGACATTAAATGTTGACATGAAATTAAATTATATAAACCTGGAAAAGAGTTTTTTTAGGGCAATTGCTGCTACTGCCAAGTTTGAAATAATAATTAATGATTCCATGTCAGGTTTATGACTGGTTCAAATGATATTGGATACATTAGCCAAAATGTGGGTCTTCATACAGAATGTTGTTACTGCCTTGAACACGTGTCGTTTTTTGTTTTAGGCCTATTTGTTGTGTTTTGCAGCTAAAGCAAATGTCCTTCATATTCTGGAAATCCTTGGTCTATATGTTACAGTTTACAAAATACAAATATAACTGATTTCAATTTGTACATTCAGTCAATGAGAATGTGTTGAAGGTAACCTTGATCTTTCCTGTCCATAGTTTTTGTCCCTTGACCTGAGAAACAGTGAAGAATCCCTGGATGAAGAGCTGCTGGGGTTGGTCAAAGTGTGTGAACGTCTGGAGCAGCTGAGAGTCTGGGCTTTCTTGGACTTGAGGACCATGGAGAGGCTGCTGCACATGAGACTGACTAAAAGAAGCTTACTCAACAAGATCAAAGTGAGACAAAAAAATAATCCACACCACCTGAATGACATTTACATTCATATTCTGAGATAACACTGATGTTGATGTCTTCAAGGTGAGAATCTACTCCATGGAAGATGAAATTGAAGAGAAGGAGGAACAGCTGGAGCAAATATTGTGTCCCTACCTGGGCCTGCCACCTGAACTGGACCTTTATGTCATGGTCTACCCCTTTGTATGAACACAAAGGTGCTTGTGGACAACCACAAAATAAAAAGAATGCAGCATTAAAATCCTCTGTTTTTGCAAATCAATGAACCACATAAATAATAACTGGACATTATAGGTTTGACACTGACTCCCTGTGTCGGTGTTGTTCTGAGAGGGGGTGGGGGCTGAGGGTGGGAACACTGACCTAGTTTCATTATAAATGGTGATTGGGGGAGGCAGTGTGTGTGTGTGTGTGTGTGTGTGTGTGTGTGTGTGTGTGTGTGTGTGTGTGTGTGTGTGTGTGTGTGTGTTTGCCCTGGCATGGAGGGAGAACTATTTAAGGCAACAAGGATTAAGCTGCAACAGTGGTATACCAAACTCCTGATTGTGTGGCACATGACACTGCCTGGGTCCAAATAATCTTTGTTTATTTACTTTATATGATTTAACCTATAAATTATAGGCATTGCACATTTTCGATAGATCAGAGGGTAAATGTACGTGTTACCTATGTATCGTGATGTCCTACTCATGTAACATTCTTGCCCATAATTTAAACCCTTTTTAAATATAAATACTGTGTATTATAAGTGGTTGATTTAATTGCAGTACATGGAATCCAAATGCAACATGTTGCCATATATATTCATCTTTATATCCATCCATCCATCAACAATCTAGCTCATGAAGTACAAATACAACAGTGTAAAAAATTTAATTAGCAATTCAGGTAAATGTTCAACTCCTTCAAAATGAATGAATGCCAACCTGACTTGGGTTATGTTTTAATTTGCAGCTTATGAGGTCAAATGTGTTGTCACATATTGACAGTGCAAGTACAAGTATCTGATGAGAGCTTTAATTCCATTCTCTTAATGCACTGGTGTGCAAACTGTTGTGGATTGTCATAGCAGCTGACAGTCAGACCACAAATTAGCCTTTGCACATCTCCAAAACATCCTCCTGCATGACTATTGGTCCACAATAGTCATGCCTGGTCACGTGACATGTGTAATGGTATTAAGGAGCGCCCGAGCCAATCGCCTCCTCCATCACCTGACCGCTATTTGAATATTGATGCTCTCTCTCTCTCTGCTGCCACCACATTGGTCCTGCCCTCTGTGTTGTTGATGTTGTGTGACATTGTCTGGCTGAGATCATCCTCACAACACAGAGAGATTTCACCGACAAAATGTCCTCGCTGCTGAAGCCGTTTTCGGTGTGTGAGGGGCCTTGTGAGAGCTCCGGCGTGAGGAGAGGATCAGCGAGCTCTGCCCCGCATCAGCAGTCTTCAGCCCGGCGTCTGGCCGCCGCGGGGCTCGGCTCTCTGCCGGCTCACCAGCGGTCCTACGCGGCGAGGAGGAACCTGGCGGCCGCTGCAGTCGGAGGGAGGAAAATCACGCATCCTGGAAAGGCTATCCTTGCAGGTGGATATAGCAACACAACTATGTATCTTGCAGACCCCCACCCCCCCCCGCCCCTCCATAGTCTGCTATTGCTTTTTTTTTTTTTTTTTTTGCACAGCACAGCCTAATCTCAGTCTGTCGCCCATAAAGGCTATCCATGCAGAACTGGGTCACTGAGCCAGCAGTGATGCTACAGCAGTGCATGATGTAGTTGCATGTTTCCTTTCCATCTTTCTTTATTACTGGCAGTCTATTCATTGAGATGATGTCTGGTAAAATAGGTAATGCAGAAAGATTTACTCTCCATACTGGGGGGGGGGGGGGGGGGTGGTTGTCTGTGGCCATTAGCTATTAATTCCAGCTCAATACAGCCACTGCTGTGTAATCACATCACTCAGCATTCATTAAAACACAAAGTATAGATCAAGCATCAGCTCCCATCTGGGCTAAATCCATCTTACCTTGACGATTCTGTATAAGCACACTTGACTCCTGCAACCAGAACATTCAAGAACAATTCTGCCCAGTGATCTTACTGCCATTTTTTTTCCTAACCTCTCCCCTCCCTCAGGTGGCATAGCAGGAGGAATCGAGATCTGCATCACCTTCCCAACAGAGTATGTCAAGACCCAGCTGCAGCTAGACGAGAGAGCGAACCCTCCGCGGTACAGAGGGATCGGTAGGTCACTGGGACATGTATGACTGCAGGTTTATGTGCCAAGTCTGCTGCTGGGTCACTCACTCGACTCTCCCTGACACTCTCTGTGTGTGTGTGTGTGTGTGTGTGTGTGTGTGTGTGTGTGTGTGTGTGTGTGTGTGTGTGTGTGTGTGTGTGTGTGTGTGTGTGTGTGTGTGTGTGTGTGTGTGTGTGTGTGTGTGTGTGTGTGTGTGTGTGTGTGTGTGTGTGTGTGTGTGTGTGTGTGTGTGTGTGTGTGTGTGTGTGTGTGTGTGTGTGTGTGTGTGTGTGTGTGTGTGTGTGTGTGTGTGTGTGTGTGTGTGTGTGTGTGTGTGGGGGCAGGTGACTGTGTGAAGCTGACCGTGCAGGATCACGGCCTCAGAGGGTTGTATCGCGGCCTCAGCTCCCTGCTTTACGGATCTATACCCAAGTCTGCAGTGAGGTGACGATGCATTCAAGATCATATACACTTGTATTTGAACAATGCAAATATTAGTCTTTAATCAGCAGCATGTGAGAGCCCTTGCGTCCTGTCCATCCATGTTGCAAAACAGAGGGGAAGGGTTTTAATCTTGAAATGTGATGTGTTAACTTCTGTCAAAGCAGTGACACAGCATTTTTTTGGCATCCAATAAGTTAAAGGCAGCCACATTTGTCGGGTCTATAATATTGTTGATTATTCTGCAGGTTCATTTCCCAATTTATTGATTCACTGCCTGGTCTTCAAAGCACCAGCACCAATAAAAAAGCTGACAAGCTAGACAAAGCTAGAGCTTTCCCACTGTTGGACAAAATAAGACTTTTTGTTGTTGTTGTTTCCATATCAGGTTTTTTTTTTTTCAGGGTGAACTCTCTAGAGTTCACTGAGTTTGGAAGTTTAATTAACTTAAATTTTGAGGGGAAAATTCATACATTTTAGAAACTGGAACCATCAAATGTTAGCTACAGTTGCTCTGTTTGATCAGTTGTTGTTTCTTAAATCATTTATCTGACTATTAAAAATTTGCTAGTTGCAATGTACAAACTATAACCTGTAGAGGAATCAATACATCACTGCCTCCCTTTTTTGTTTTTTTCGTCACTATATTCCCTTCTGTCTCTCGCAGGTTCGGCACGTTCGAAATGCTCAGTAACCCGATGCGAGACGCGACAGGCCGGCTGGACAACACGCGGAGCCTTCTGTGTGGTCTAGGAGCCGGCATTACAGAAGCAATCGTGATCGTCTGCCCAATGGAGACGCTGAAGGTCTGTGGACGCTGTTGTCCCCTTCTTCTACTTCTTTCCATGCTCTGAAAGAACGGTGCACTGATCAAATAGTTCCGTCTCTTCCTCCAGGTGAAGCTGATCCATGACCAGTGTTCCCTCAGACCTCGCTACAGAGGATTCTTCCATGGAGTTAGTGAGATCATCAGAGAACAGGGTAAGAGAGCAGGATGAACCCACATGGTAGGAGAGACTCAAACTTAATCTGTTCGAGACCTCATAATGAACTGTGTTTGAATCGCTTAGGAGTGAGAGGGACGTATCAAGGTCTGACAGCGACTGTGCTCAAACAAGGAACCAATCAGGCCATCCGATTCTATGTGATGAACTTGCTGCGTAATTGGTACAAAGGTGAGGAAACATTTTACGGCAGCACAAAATCCAGTCTTTTTGGTCGACATGTCCACTTGTATCGATGCATTTTTCTTCTGTTTTTTTTCCATTTTCCTTGGATCCAATCTCCGGCTTCTTTAGGTGATGACCCCAGAAAAGAAATGCACCCAATCGTCACAGCAATGTTCGGGGCGACTGCAGGAGCTGCCAGCGTCTTTGGAAATACACCTCTGGATGTGGTGAAGACGAGGATGCAGGTAGAAAGCACAATATGTGATGGGTTTTTTTAATCACTCTCCTCCTCTGGTCTTCAAATTCAAGACTTCAAGAGTATCTGTTTGTTGCAGGGTTTGGAGGCGTATCGGTACAAAAACACAGTGGACTGTGCCTTCCAGATCTTGAAGCAGGAAGGACCTCAGGCGTAAGTTGACCCTGATCCTGCTCCTGGGTGCCATTTCACTTTGAAGACGGGACAAATCATCCTGATCTCTTCTTCTGCTTCCCACAGGTTCTACAAAGGAACGGTTCCCAGGCTGGGCAGGGTGTGCCTGGACGTGGCCATAGTTTTCGTCTTATATGAGGAGGTGGTCAAACTTCTGAACAATGTGTGGAAGACCCAATAGACCCCCCCGTGGACAAGGGGGGACAGAGATCCAGAGGGATGCACAGACCAGTGCCTCATGCTACGCACAACTGAACACCTCTATTCTACTTCATCTCGGCTCTCTGCATTTCCCTGAGCTTGTGACAACTTCATCTTCACCAGATTGAATATTACAAATCTGTGATTTAAAGGACCTATTCTGAACAACACAAAAAGAAAAAGGAAGAGCGAATCTGAAAGCCGTTTTCCAGATCACGCTTTGGAATCGAGAGTGATGATTCTTACTCTGAAGGAAAAAAAGGGAAATGAAGTACCTTAGTGATGTGTTATTCTTTGCTTCTGACCAAACTTGTAGACTCCACCTCGAGTCTTTTGACCAGAAAAAAAAATACGAGTATGAAGAGAAGATCACATATTTATTACCAAAGTTTAGAAACAGGCAAGACAACGAGCAAGTTTTAAAGGGATATTACATATTTCTGGTGTTTCAGCTTTGTATGACTGTTGTTGCCGTGCGTGTTAACACTTAGCATCAAACCATAAATGTGTCTTTTGATCCACTGAATACTTGACGCGATTACGTACATGACACTGAGCAGGAGAAGCGTCTGGAACACCAAACCGGCTCGCTGCAGCACTCCCAACACGCGCTGGTGTTGTTGTTACAGCTTCCTCGATTGTGCTTGTGTGGCCTCATCAAACTACAACATTCAGTGCTTTGCTCGCTGTTTGCTCGATATATCGTGCGTTGTGCATTTCATGGCCGCTGCTTACAACAGAGCAGCTGCTTACAGATGTTTTCATCATGTAGCAGCTGTCCTGTTGCACTCTGACAACAAAAAAAAAACAAAAAAAACTGGTCTGGGGCTGGCTGTTCCTCATCTGGAAATTGCTATAGAGAGCCCCCCTCCCCTCAGATACATTCATCATTAAGTTGCACTCACATTTTATGGAACAAAAACACACGTAGCAAAATCTTCACATGCAGTCTTATGATTAGGAGTAGTGTAGGTGGTTGCGTTCTCTACAGCAGATTATGAAGGCTTTCCTTGGGAATATTTATTTGAGACCGTCACAGCCTGAAATCTCAAAGTGATTTCACCTCTTCAGAGAATGATTTTTCCGACTGTTTAAGCCATATGAATTTAGTGATTCTCTTGTGCTCCTTTATTCAACATACTCTCCTGAAGTCACTTTAATGTTTGTGTTTTTTTACCTCAAGCTGAACCTGCTTCATCTGTTTTTTTGGTTTTTTTGTACACTTAACTGATGAACCCGTTATTTATCTTGGATTGCACTGGCTCTTGTCTATTTACAGTGTTTACATGTGCTGGAGGATATTGCAGACAGTAAATGTGTCACAGGCTCGACTACATTAGTGAGAGCGATTAGGCAAGGCTTGGTTTTGATAGACCTCGTGGCACCACACAGCCTTGCACAGAAGCCTTTTGATCCTCTTTGCCAAACTACTGCGGTAGAATCTCTAACGTAACATCCCTGTTATAGGAGCGAATGGTTTAATACGATTTTAAACTCAGAGCTACAGAGTTTTGTTTAATCTTCATGTCTCGACTGTTTTGTTTTCATTAACTAAAGAGCATCGTTTGTATTGTATTACTGTTTTGCTGCTTTTCATAAACAGGTGAGCGGTAGAGCATATCACATTTGTTATCGCCCATCAGATCATAAAAGGTCCTGTTGAGCAGATTGAAGGTCATGTGTGATGGTGATGGTAAATCACATTTTTTTTTAATGAAATCAGTGTGCTAAGTTAGAAGTGATCCGATGTGGAAACCCCCCCCCTCATGAAAACATGGTTTTAATAAACATGTGAATGGTTACTTACGTCTTCGTAATTCTTCTTCAAATGAGCTCTGCAAACGAGACAGGGACAGATCTGATCTGACATCGGTATGCGGTACTGACGTGATTTACATATCCGACTGACGGCACAGATCGAGAAAGATCATTGGGCATTGAAACACTCTCAACTAACAGTCTCAATTTAAAGACTTTCATACTGAACTGCAAAGTGCTCACAAATCGTCTACATCAAGACATTCAGAGATGGAACAGCTCCTTTTATGTGATGAAAAGTACAACTCTTGCAGTTCAGTTTAAGATATTTAATTTGGAAACCTCAGTTTCTGCTGCTTCCTGTTCAAACTAATGTATCTGGAATCATTTATTTATTTAATGTCTTTGCTATATGAATAAGAAATCTAATGCTGGCTTTACTACAGCTTTGTGTGGCCTTACACATAATTCCAACAACTACAAAACACTATATATATATATATATATATATATATATATATATGTTTACTATATCAGAATCCACATTAGTATCGGTACATATGTATCATAATCGGATCAGAACTGAAAAAAGTGTTTTGTGCATCTCTGATGTAAAGGAGTTTGTATTATAATGAGTTATGTACAATATAATTATTGGTGGTCCTTCCTCTTGAAATGTCAGATACTGACGTCAGTGCATGCCACATTATTTACTGATGGTCTGATTAGCCCCGAACATAACCTGTAAGGAGCTACAGCTAGTGTTTATCTTTTCCTTAATGCTGATGATATATTCATATTTGACTAAATCGTAAATTCAAAGACACAATCTTGAAGGACGCTCTGTTGGTCTGTGTACTGAATGCAGGAAGAGACTGAGCAGCTGGCAGTACTGAAGATGAAATGGTCTATGACCTTTGAACTCTGAAACACTACAGTAACAACCGGTATACTTGTTCTAAGGTTACATTTCATTAATACAATCATACTAATTGGAAGAGGAACAAATGCCATATAATCAAACTTTTAAACCTTCTACATGTAATCATGAGATGCTTTAATGATGTTTTTAATGATTTTATTTCTAAATGCCGTTCATATTATGTCACTTATGTGTTAAGGCAAATTCCCCTAGAGGCAATAAAGGTTTCATTCATTCATATACAACAATCCACCTGAAATAAACAAAAAATAAGCCACACCCACTGGATAAACAAAGGTTTTTGACAACTTTAGAACTTTATGTAAATATTTATTCATAGTAAATATTCACAAACCCAGTTACATATATGAAACATACTGGTTATTCTAAGAGGACTGGTGGGCCTGGTTTTGCCTCAACATGATAAGCACCACAGAGTTCAGAGCGCTTGACATTTGGCTTCAATGAAGAGCTGGAAAAAAAAACCCCAGCAGGCTGAGGGCTTTTGCTGATCGCAGGACAGAGGAGATTAAAGGCTGAAGGAGCAGGGCGAGCACGGACAACACTGACATCACAGAGGAAAGGTATTAGTGCTCCCACCTGTCGCCCCACCAGTGCACCTGTCAGTTACGCTCTACCATTCATCTGGTAAGGCTTTAGGCGAGGACACACATGCTGCTGAGGGGAAACAACCTGTGCTGGTTTAATCTTGAGCAGCTGGTTAGATTTCTTTATACATTATTATGTATGCAGAATTTGAAGCTAAATATTTGTTATTGCATATAGTGTCTGCATATTTATAATTGATGACACTATAATATAGGTTGAAAAATTAAGTGTACACTTTTAGATCAGGGCTTGATGTGTACAAAAAGGCATGTACACGAGTAAAACCCTTTTTTAATGTGAAAGCTGCAAACACAGCCTTAAACATTAAAGTGGAGCTGTGACTGGCAAAACTCCCCCCAAAAAAACCTTTGCTGTCTTACATTGTAAATATTTCCTCATGGGTTTCAAACCTGGAGAGTTCATTTGCATCATGACCAGACTGGGGTTCCTCGAACCAATGTGTACTTGAGACAAACTTGGGGTCAGGTTCAATCCAGTCACCTCTGCTCCAGCTGTCAGGCTTCTCTGCAGTGGTACATTTGAAATCCTTTGCCAAAGTTACGAGTGAGGAGGAGTGAGGTGAGGTTACCTTCTCCATCTAGAAAAAAAAAACAAAACACAAGGCCAAAGGGTTAGTTGTAACAAAACACTTGGATAATTCCATCTAAGTAAAGTAAATTTATTTTGTTTTGCAGCTAACTCACATTCTAAGACATTTGTCTTTCCCGCCACTGGCCACTCTTTGTCCATCAGGACTCCAGTCCACTGCAAATACCTAGACACAAGAAAAAAAAAAAAAAAAAAGAATTACAAAAACAAATAAATCAACACAAGCAGGTAAGTCTCCCTTTTCCTTCCCTTCCCTCACCTCATCAGCGTGGCCTGGCAGGTCCATGTTTAACTTTCCGGTCTTGACGTCCCAAACTTTAAGTGTGCTGTCACTGCTGCCGCTAACCAGCAGCCTGCTGTCTGCAGACCACGCCACCTGATACACGGACCCCACATGTCCACGCAGGGACATCAGGTACCTGAGGGTGAGTAGAAAGCAAGCAGAGACATCACTACACCAGCCTTATAGCACCGCCACGTGGACAACAGCAGTATTACATACAAGTCTAAATGTAATCTACTCGACTAAACAAGCTTTGATGTTCTGACGTTTCCTTACTTTCCGGTGCGTCCGTCCCAGATTTTAATGGACTTATCGAACGAGGCGGAGGCGAGGAGCCTGGTGTCTGGGGAGAAGAGCACCTCATTGACCAGAGCGCTGTGGCCCGTCATCCTGGCCAGAGGCTTCTTGTCTTCTGCAGGGTTCCACAGGAACAAAGTGAAATCATCTGAGCCGGAAACGAGGCGCTCCGGAGCCTGACCCTGCAGCACGAGAACAGGAGAGAGGTTACTGACACAGGCGATCCTTACAGACTCAAACACTTCAGTACAGACCACAAAGCTTACTCACCCTGACTTTAGTATATCGCTCTAGAGCTCTCTCCTTCAGCTCGTCCACTGTGGGAAAACAAGAGTTTGTGTTCAGTGGAAATAACCTCTAGAAAACATTGAAGCCAGAAAGACTCTTGTTTTTTTGTACAGTCTGACACGTTCCACTTAAATCTGTATCCAAAAGGTTTCATGATCCTTACATGATCCTGTTAGGTCCTGGGGGTTGATGGTGGCAGTTGCAGGTTCAAACGCTCCAGTTCGCAGGACGTAGTCTGTGCTGAGAGCCAGTGTATTCACCCAGTGGGCGTGTCCCTGCAGAGTCCTGCACTGGACGCCCTTCAGACACAAATAGAAATACACACACATTACATGTTTCTTTGACACACACAAGTCACCTCTTCTTCGTTCAATCAATACAAGTTAAACACACTTACGTCTTTAGCTCTCCACACTTTGACCGTCCTGTCCTGTGAAGACGTGTAGAGAAGTCCGTCTCCTCCCCACTTCACACATGTGACTGACTGTGTGTGACCGGTCAGGATCTTCTCACAGCGTCCCAACACCGTGTCCCATATACGTATGGAGCCATCCTTAGAGCTGCTGGCTAAGTGCCGACACTCTGAGTTTCTGAATGGGAGAGAGGAGCATGTTGAAGAGTGATTAAATCAGCACAGTAAAGTTGTCACGATAGCAAAAATTTGGCTTCGATGCCTATTCCAAGTTTAGTATCATGATACTCAGTGCTGAGACGATACTGGCTTGACACAATGATGGAAAAATGATGTCCACAAGGGTTTGTCACATTTTGGAATTCATATTTTATTCCACTTCGAGTGTAAAATAAAACTTTTCAAAGAAGTACATTAAAATTTCTATTTGGTGACAAAGAGCTGAGAAAAATCAGTGTGTTTTAAAAGCTTTGTGTGATTCAAAGCCAGAAGCACAGGCTGCAACTCAGTTTCTTTTAAGAGACTTTCCTTAGTTGTGCTATATTTTTATGGTTTAGGGATATTGATTTGGTTTGAAAATGTACTTTTTTAAGAAGATATAAATAGAGTCATCTTTTAAAAAGAGAAAATATATGCTTTATTTTATTCGTAACTTCTTATTTTACAGTTTTGGTCAGGAGTAAAAAATAAAAATGAGGAAATCAGAAGTAAAGTGATGAGCACTCACAGATGAAGAGGTTCCCAGCAGAGCCAAGTGATCCACTTGCTGTGTCCTGTCAGAGTCTTACCCATCTGTGTACCCGTCACTGGATCCCACAGACAGATCTACAGAAACAGAACAACATTAATTATTTACAACATACTCATAGGATTCATCTTAAACCAACGGATCAGAACAATGAGTGCGGATTGGACGCTCACCTGGCTGTTCTTGCACCCTGAAGCCAGTTTCTTGCCATCAGGTGACCAGGCAATGGTCAGCACCCAATGTGTGTGTCCTGAAATAAAGCAGAATTCAGCTCAATGGTGTCTCAATGCACTGACCAGTTGTGTATTTATTAGGCTGCAAAGTAGAGTACGCTAAACTGTAGAAATGACTTTATACCTCTGGCAGTGTGGTGAGGTGTCTCCGTCGTCAAGTCCCAAAAACGCACTGTGGTGTCACCTGAACCGCTGGCCAGATATCTGAAACACAGAAGAACAAATAAAAAATACTTATTCTGTCTTTTAGGGGAAGTGTCTTTAGAGGAATTGTTCTGAGTTTCATCCCCTCTGTTGTTTTACCACAAGGATTCTTAGATAAACCAGAATACAGAAAAGCAGGACAAACAGGAAAATAACCACACAGAACCTGGACACGCGTTGACCGTCC